CTCCTTAACCTCCGCGCCAACATTCCCGCCCGGACATCAGCTTCTCGCAGGGCTGGTCTTGAAACCAACAAATTTCATAAAGTGTTCGTGTCCCTCAGCTCCCACTGTCACTTGAGAGCCCTGCCTTCCGCCGACTGTTGTTATTTTTAAGAACAAAACTCTTCCCTATTTTGAAAGTTCACAGGCAGCGGACAGAATGGGGCTCCAAGACATGGGAAGAGAAGTAAAGGGTTATGGAATGTTTGGGGTTTTCCCTCAAGGATCTGACTCCCACATTTCAAGGACGGAAAACATTTCGGCAGAGAAGAGGGCAGTCGTGCTGTTCGTTTGACTAAGCGGACGTTATGGCGCGTCTGACCCACGTGCGATGCTATTTTTCTTTGCTGGGCGGTTGCATTAGCAACGTGATGCTCGTTCAGGTAGTTAGCGCTTGTCTTCCCCAGACTATTCACTTGTGAGTGATACCGTTATCTCAGAACAGGTAAAATGGAAGTGGACTTATTGGGCAGGTGCTGGGAGCGTTTCTGAGCATCCGCTCTGCCGGTCACTCATTTCTCCTCAGCAGGGATCAATCTATTACTTGCTTTTGACACCTTTGCTATAGCGATGATGGCAGCGACTTCCATTAATCCTAGAAGATGAAATCTCACAGCCCACGCCACTGAAGTTCCTGAGATTTCTCCAGATCAAGTCGTGTTGCTTTTATAGTTTAAAAAAAAAAAAAAAAAAGAAAAGAAAAAGAATCATTCAGTCAATGAATATTTATTAAGAGGATTTTATTTGCATACTGAATGGCTCTTGCGGGAGCTGGTGATGAAAAATAAAAACTAGCATTGGGCCATGTGTTTCCACCAGCAACCATGAACACAAAAAGGCTGGACTTCCAAATAGATACTGCCCATTTTATATACAATTACAGGAACCTTGTGAACTGCTGAAGGGGCCTTTGGGGGGCTGCAAATGTGTGTTTTAATCCATCGAAAGAAAAGTAGAACCTTCATTTCCCCTGCGAAAAATTAAACAATGTGGGAGTTCCCAGGCTGGTCTAAGCGTTTCCAAACCCCAGGGTGACAAACGGATTCATCTAGCCAATGACATATCATGTGATGTGAGTGATCATCACATTGGCTATAATGATGAGCGACATTATTTTACCCTTTTAAAAAATTTTTATTAATTAATTTTAATAGGTAATAACACATTTACATGTGTACAAAAGGATACTCAGTAGAAGTTCTCCCCTTACCCCAACCTCCCTGGTCCCCTTCCTGCAAGCAACCACTATTGTCAGTTTCTTGTGTATCCTTTCAGAGATATTTTTAAGCTGACACAAGGAAATAGGTAAATTCATTCTTGTTTTCTTCCTTTTTTTTTTTCTTACATACGACTGGGAATGTACTAGAGCCGCTGTTATTTTTCACTTGATTTATTTTGGGGATTGCTCCTTATGAGCACATTAAGGACATGCTTATTTTTGTGTGACTGCAATTTAGTCCATGGTATGCATATAATATAACATTTAACCGCTCTCACACTGATGGGCATTTGCGTTGTGTTCCAATCTTATGCTGGTAAAAATAATGCTGTAATAAATAGTCTCGTATAGACATAATTTCACTGGTAAACACTGATTTTAAATAGGGAAGGTCTGGGGGTTTGGCTAATTTTTTTCTTTACCATCCCCATTTATCATCCCCGTATTTGCACTACGTATTCTAAGATCCAAGCATAGAAAATACTTCTGTCTTTAGCAAGTATTTCACATATATCAGTAAAGTAAACGGATTGCCCTTCAGTAGATGGCAGAATGGTTTAAGGACAACTTCACTGTGAGATTCTATTTTATAAGGAATCTTTTTTTATATGAATGTACTTATTCTTTTAGATATCAACCCTGGAATGAATACTGCTTATTATATAAGGCGAGAGATTCTTGAGGTTCCCAAGAATTGTCCTGGAAAGAAAATTGCTTTTGAAATGAGATGAGCGGTGTCTTAAATTCACTGAGAAATCTCAGAAAACTTGACACTTTCACAAAATTTGGATATTCAATTAATTGAATTTGAGGCTGGCATGATTCTCCAAATAGACTTGGACTGGTTGATAGCCAAGGCATGGATGGTACCACTCAGGAATACTGTCATTCTGCATCTGAAACAGAATCCTTAATTGATGTGTGTTGAATCTCTACTAATTTATTATGTCTCAACATTTCCTGCATTTTGGTAGAAAATGAATAGCAAGTTATTTTTTTAATTACATAAATATTTTAAAGAAAATGAAAACCAAGAAGCTGTTTAAAACTTCATTATCAAGATGTATTCAGCTACCTGGAATATTTTCATCTGTTTTCTTAGTGAACATGAACACTGCATTTACAGTCTGGCATTCATCCTATTACAATGCATTTTAATTAAAGTATTTAGACAAATGTTCCTGGCTTGTGGATTCATTTTGGAAACTGACCAAGTATGACAGACACTTTTGTGAGAAAAACTAAGTTATTTCCTGGCTCAGGCTCCCTAGCTGGTCTCCTATCGACATCCTTGGGGTGTAATTTATCCTGCATTCCTGTTGTTGGAGAGATATCCCTGTGGCATGCTTTATCAAACCTCCGTGGCCCCTAGGATTCTAAACACCTCAAAAACAGCCCCTTTACCTCTGGTCTCACCAAGCCAACTGCTTCCAATTTCCCCAACCCCATTAGACGTGTTCAAAGATGCAGAGTGCTGATGTACAGGGGCTCTGGAGTCAGACTGCCTAGCTTCCAATCTCAGCTCGACCATGTACCACAGATGTCCACGGGCCTCTCTGAGTCCCGATGACGTCATCTGTAAGATGGAGATAATACATTGCACCACACAGGGCCACTGTGATGGGCAAATAATAGACTGGCATTGTCAAGTCTGAATGGAAATGAGGAATAAAGCCGACCTATCATCCCCTTGACTCTGCTACAGCTGGAGTAGAATGGAAGCCCCCTGAGAACTCTGTCTTCTCTGAATCCTGCCTCTGCCCAGGGTTATATACACAGAAGAGGTGTGATCACCTCTTTCCTGGCTCTTTAGCTGAGAGTTTGTACAAAGACCACATTAGTTATAACAATATAAATCACAGCTTTCCCCACCATCCATATTTAATCCAATTTCATACAAAAACAGACCCTAAAACACCAACCAGGGCTTACTCTCTTGGGACAATAACTACATCTGGGCTGGGCCCAGGGCAGCACATGGATGTGTGACCTGTGCGGTCACCCGTGGCCCTGTGTTTATTGAATGCTCTGCTGTCACCATCTTCAAATTCTTTATAATTTTTGAACAAGGGGGTCTCATATTTTTATTTGCACCGGGCCCCACAATTTGTACAGCCTGTCGTGTCTAGACTGGAATACCACCTGATGTCTGAAAAGGCCCATGGGAAAGGGAAGGGGAGATGTGTCTTTTTGCATTCAGCATCCATCTCCCTTCCTGCAGCCACAGGATCCTGCTCCCTTTTAGAAGATTACCGTTCACTCATGCATCGTGAGTCAAACATGGGGACCCAAGTCAGGCCCATTGGCTCTCCTTCCTGGGAATCTGAATCTTGAGAGCTATTGCCCCTCTTCCTCACTAACAGAACCGTGGTTTAGCTTTGGGCAGCAAGATGCCCAGCTCCAGGGGTGAAGCCCTGGTGTAAGCCAGTCACTGCTCTTCTGAGCCCTTCTGCCAGACAATAACTGTCCCAGCCTTCCCTGTGGCTAAGGGTGGCCATTGACCCTGTTCTAACCAATGAGTTATAAAGGGAAGGATGGTAGGAGGCCTCCTTAATAAAACAGAAACCCCCTATTGCTGCTGTCCCTCTTTCTTCCTACTTGCCACACTGCTGGGAGAATATATTTGGAGCTGCAGCAGCCATTTTGTGACCGAAGAGCCAAAGAATCAGAGATGCAGACTGTGACATGCCTGAGTCGCCAAGCCAACCTCGAAACCGCTCATCTCCAGAGTACTTGTTACGTGAGATGGTGAAATACCTTTCTTATTTAAGCCATCTTAGTCCCCATCTCTGTCACCTGCAGCTGGAAACCTCCTGAGAGACAATCAGTGAGACGGAGAGGGAGGGAACGAAAGTGGGCACAGGTGCACCACAACTTTGGCCCTGACCACACAGACCCCTCGTTCCTGTTGCTCAGATCCTTGTTAGTACCAGGCTTCCCGGCCTTCCTGGTCTGGTCTCCAGCTTTTCCCTAAGTACGCTGGCTACCATGTGTATTTTGAATGTAGTGTGGGAGATCAAAATTTGGCCACCCTGAAATATATCTCTTTACCTTGATTGTTTTCTCTGAAGGACATTTCACCTCCCCCACTAACTGCCTAAAGAATTTGACATGGTGGCTCCTTCCTGGAACAGATCTTCTATCATGATGGCTGTAATGATAATGTAAAATAGATGTTACAATGGGAGGGACACCAAGCCCCTTTTATCAAAAAACTCTGTCTCTCCCTGACCACATTATCTATAGATGACCCCGAAAAGAATTGTCTTCCTGCCCTCTGAAGTCCCAGGCCACTACCCACCCCCAACCCACTCCTCGCCTTTAGCTGCAATACTTAAGCAAGCAGCTTAGACAGAGAGACGAGTTGCTCGTTTCTGAGTTTCTCCCATGTATACATGTTATTAAACTTGGTATTATTTTCTCCTGCTAACCTGTCTTGTTAATTATTTGGCCAGCCATAAGAACCTTAAGGAAGAGGGCGGAGGGAGATTCTCCCTCTTCCCCCGACAGTAGTCACCTTCAGCTTAAGTCCGTCAGAGTTGGTTTTTGTCGCTCACAGTGAAAGAAACCTCACTGATGCAGACAAAAGTGCTTCTGGGAGTTTCCTGGTTATTTAAAATTCAAGA